AAAAAAGGCCACTTCTGCTTGCTTGACTTGCGTTTTTCCGTGGAAGCCGTTTTACGACCACCAACAATTACGTGATTGCGGGTATAATCGAAAGTTTTTCGCGATCACTTTCGCACGTTTCCGGCACACCGCGATGCTGTAACAGTAGCTTGTTTAAAAATACCACGGCGAAAATACTTTTGTTGCGGCAAATGCCGCTAATCTGTTACACGAGCAATTCCATTAGCGTGTTATTAGCTTGCTACTGTGACGTAAGCGATTAAAGGTGCGTAAACGGAATCAAAAACGTACGAATGGGAGCCAAATTAATGTCATTAACGCCATTAGGTGGATAACGTATCATCACGGCTATGTTTCGAGTATTTGATTCTGTGTAATTATCCCTTGATCTATACTATGCCGCTTCCCATTAAATGATGCTCATAAACAAGCTGAGAGACATTACCGAGTGACTTCACCACGCACGCGATATACATGCGATAGACGGAATAATGTCTCTCTCCTGACCATTATTTTTGTTCGGAAATTTTTACGTTTGATAGCGAAAACTGGATGTATTTAAGCCGATTTTGCCGTTATTAATCCTTCGCAATATATTGCGATCCGGTTATTGGCTCTTAACAGTTATCGGGTTTATCAATTAAAAGGACTAAGCCATTCATAACAGGATTACATCAGCGACATGGAGCTGTATGAAATTTTACAATGTAACTAGAGTATATATGCGCATTCACTTTTATCGAAATATGAAATCATTATCTAAAGCGATGTTATTTATATAAGAAAAACAGAAGATGATTAAAATTTAAACCGATAGAATATTTCATATATTGTTTTTCGTGTTTATTCAGAACAAATAAATAAAACGTATAAAAATATGTACAAAAATGAAATTAATATGTGTAATTCACGATTTGGTATTAAATATATTGGTACTAAAAATATTATAAATATTATATTAAAAATTTAAAAATTATGTATAATAAGTATAATAAGTAAAATTATGTATAATAAGTAAAATTATGTATAATTAGTGAGACTTTCAATTATGTATAATATTTTTAAAAATTAAAAATATTATAAATCTACTTATTTAATTTTGCATAAAAGGAATAGATATACATTAATTGAATATGTAAAACAAATGTATATTATATAAATAATGTATTATAAACATACGATGTTTTGAAACAAATATGTAACACAATAAAAAAATTAAATTTCCTCAAAATTTTCTTAATTATATTATATATTTTTTTCATTAATTATGTATATAAATTAAAGAAATATAAAAATAAATATATAAATTAAAGAAATATAAAAAACTTTAAAAGTATATTAAATTAGATATACATTTTAAATATAAAAACAGTTATTTAAAAAAGGTAACACAAATTTGCGAAAAAATTTTCCGACATTTCGCATTATTGGATGTGATACATATCCATTTATCATTTTCTCTCTATTTAGCGATTCATATACGCGATGAATCTTCTGCCTAAATGTGCACTGATGTACATAAGTCGTACAAATCTCATTTTGCATAACATCATTTCAATTTGAATCGCTTTTCATTGACGGAAAAAAACCAAGTTATGCTCGAGTAATGCGCAGCACGAATGCCAGGGATTATTCTACAGAGTTCTATCACATGATACGAAAATTAGAAAACCCACAACGTGAACACGCTCCGGTCGTTATTGCGTATTCCATCCCGCACCGAATCTAATTGCAAATCGCTTGCGTGTAATGGCTCGAAAGCCAAAGCCGTAGCGGTCTATCGATTATCATGGGTTTACAGTCACCATTAGACCCGATTACAGTGAGTTTATCCTTAGTCTCACTAATAGCCGATTATATCGGCAATCTAACATCATTCCATGAGAGAAAACATGAAATCTTTATTTTAAAAAATTGATGTTTTGTATGTAATGGAAAACATTTAAGTATACCGATTTTATTATCGATTATTTAAAATAACCGATTTTTTAATATTTAACATATATCTGTAGTTTTTATTTTAATCTAGAAAAAATTCTGCGCTATAATTTTCATATGTTATTTATATTATAATTTGTACATAAATTGGGTGAAATTCTGTGATCGTTCTCATGCATTTCATTCAAGATTTACCTGTTGAAAAACATAGCCTCGATACTTGAGTTCAACATTAATAAATAAAAGATATTGAGTTATTAAACAAATTATTTTCTTCTGCTCCTTATTTATTCACGCAATTCAAATATTTATTCATGCAGCGCAACTCGAATGAGGTAGAAGATAGTGATGTGAGACGCTTTGTGTAATATCAAATTCCGAAATTTCGAAACGAAATCTATATATTGTCACAATAGCAACATGGCAAAGTAAATTTGCTATACCCGTTAAAATTTGCAATTAATAATTTATCAAAAATAAAGAAATATTTTGATAAATGATATGTAATTTTTAATAAATGGCTTATAATCATCCTTATTAAAAAGTATATTTCTTGCGACTTATTCATTTATTATTTCACAAATAAAAATCGAAATATGTGTGTGTATTTATAATAGAGATTTAATATATATAATAATCGATATATAATAATCGAATATATATAATAAAGATTTATATTATAAATTATCGTTTCGTTGCAAATTTTACAAGTTATTTCTCTAATGATTACTTAATATATTTCGTCTGATGTTTTATCTTCCAATTTTTCGATAATCTAAATGTAACTTTCTATATGGATTGAGAACGTGCAATAAAATACAAATCAAAGGATCGATTAAAGAGTGATTAACGAAAGGCTCTGATAAGAGAGATATCAATCATTTAATAAATAATTAATCTTTAAAAAACACAATATTATAAAAAACACAATATGTACACGTGTATTATGATGGGCTTCCGAGTTTGAGTTGCGTAAATTTTTTTTATTACAATATTTCGTGAATATTCCAATTCATTTCATTAGGGAGGAATTTGATATTAGTATCAGCTTACTGCTTTCTGAAATTAAATGTTCACAAAATATTGAAATTATATAAAGAATTTATATGACTCAAATCCGAAATCCTAATATTCATGTACACTGCAAAAATCTTAAATATCAATTATATATGTAAGTTATATATAATATGTATAATATATAATATATAATATGTATAATATTTCAATAAGAAATTATTAAATACACATGTGTAGCGCGGTGTTCAATCTCTCTTAACAGTATATAACATGGTAATGTTCATGTGACGCGATCCTGTCAGTGATGTCACATTCCGACCTTTCGAGCATGCCATAGGTAGCATGGAAGGGGTAATAGGAGACAAAACGCTCGCAGAGAAAAGAGCGAGAGAGTATCATGTTTTGTCTCCTTCTATTACCCCCTCCATGTTACCGCATGCTACCGAAAGGTCGGACTCTGACATCACTGGATTCTATTATCATTCACACAGCGACAGTCAGACAAGTGGTGTCGCGAGACTATCGAATTCTTTTTCTTAACGCGATTGTAACAAGTATCGGAAAATTCGATGTAATTATAATTAATAATTAACGTTAATAACAATAAATTATATCGTGATGATAGATCTGTATTAAAGCACGTATTTCCTCTGATTTATTCATTTATTATTTCATTAAAAATCGAAATATAAACAGAGATTAAAATAATAAATTATCGTTTCGTTGCGCGATCTTTACGAACAATAATTATTTTTCTAACGATGCTTAAAATCAAATATATTTCGTCCCATACTTCATCGTTCGACTTTTCGATTTAAATATAATTTGGATTGCGAATGCGCAGTAAAATACGAATCGCAGTATGTAACGAAGTAGTTAACATTAAAGATCACGTGATACATTAATTGTTAACGAATAATTAATCTATAATTTATAAAGAACATAATATTTCATCTTTATATATACATTTTATAGTACATAAATATTTTGGAGCAACGAGAATTATTAATAACACAATATTCAATTTTGACGGCGTGTAGCGCGCTATTGGATACATGTCATGCTCTTGTTGTCATTCACACGGCGATATTCGAGCAGTAAGTAGTATTGCGAGACGCTCCGTCAAATTCTTTTTCTAAACGCGATTAATATCCGGAAATAATTCGTTGTAATTATTATAATTAATAATTAATTAACTTTAACATCAATACATAATTATATCGTAATAAATTCTCTAAGTACACATATTCCTCATAATTTACTCTATATATATATATATATAATGTAATAAGTACATTTATAATTTAACACACATAATATTCCAAACATATACGTTTTATAATACGTAAAATATTTCGGCAACGAAATTAATAACACAATATTTGGCCTTGGCGTCATGTAGCGCGCCATTGTTTACACGTCATGGCCTTGTTATCATTCACCCGGCGACATTTCAATAATAAAATAGTAATACGCGGCGAAGCGTTCCAATATATTATCACTTTTCTAAACGATCGCGATGAATATCGAGAATTAATTTACTGTGATTATTATAATAATTAAAATATATTAATAATTAATTAACTTTTATAAATGAGAATAAGAATAAATGTATCGCGACGGTAAATCTTTATCGAAATACGTATTTGATTTATTATTTCAAGTAAAAATCGAGATAAAATAGGATAAAAATTATATAAATGATAAATTTATTTTATTACGAAAATTATTTTGTAAAATTATAATAATTATAACAATTATAAAATTGCTTTATTATTATGCTCCTTTACAAGTAATTAATTTTCTAACTATTCTTAAAGTCAAATATATTTTGTTTGCGATGTTTGAAAATTCTCACCGACCTAAATGTGTAATTTGTCATTCGGTTTAAGTCCGTGTAAAAACACAAATTGAGATCCATTAAAATAATTAAATTAAACGCAAACATTAAAGTAATAAAAAATAATAATAATATATCAATTAATTAATAATTATAATTAATTTCATCAAAGTATAATCCTTACATAAAATATATTACTTCGCGAAATGCGAAAATGCTATGCAAAATGTCGGCGACTTTAATCATCCAAGTGCGGGAATGTCGTTTAAAGTGTCGCGTGTCCAAGTGCCAGGAATATTGAAAGTGTTGCGCGTCCAAGAACAGGAGTGTTGTTCAAAGTGTCGCGCATGTGAATTAACCGACTCTGAACCGACAATGACCCTGCAACCAAAGAAGAGGAGGAGGCCTAGGAGAAGCATCAGGCACCGGCAAAACAACCTTGATGTGAGTGATTTAATATTTGTATATCAGTTGTATGTATGTGTTGTATTAATTGCATGCACGTAGGACGTTTTGATTTACGTAATTAATTGCATAATTTAGTGTATTTACATAATTTAAATAAAATAAAATGAGAAGAAAGTCTTTATATAAAAATTATAATTCTGCAAAAGATTATACTTAATAAAAAATATAATCTTTTCAGAATTTATAAAATTCACTTAATATCTGCTATTGTATCAAATATAAAATTTTTAATACGTATAATAATAATTTTTTGAAATAGTAATTATTTTGGATACTATTATAATTTAAATCTTCTATTCATATGTACAGATCAATATAGCTTCAATATCATCAACTTCGCTGTTGCGCATCGGTGAGTGATTAATTTTGATTTTACTTTAAAGTTTTTCAGGATGGGCTAGAATAAATTAGATAAAAAGTATCTTTTGATAGAATCTTTCAATATATATTACAAATATAAATTGTGCCATAAAAATTTAAATAAAATTAAAAACATTTTAATTAAGATTTTATATTTATTTTATTCAATAAAGAACGCGCTAATAACTTTATTAATTGTATACAATAACTTATTATAACGTATATCGATTTTATCCTAATTTTTTGTAGTCCCTCCGTCCACCGCGTAATATATCAGAAAACTTTGCTTTGACCGATATAATCTCAAGTTATCGATCAATTGAACATATAATGGAAATATGTATACTAAATGTTAAAATAATATAATATAAATATTAAATTATTAGATATTAAATATTAAGTATTTAATGCTAATGTATAAATATTAAATATGTAATGTAAATGTTTAATTAATTTTATTTTATTATAAAAGAAAATTTATAATAAAATAAAATTAATTAAACATTTACATTATATATATATATATATATATATATATTTACATTATATATATATATATATATATATATATATATTATAAAAATATCAATTAATGCAAATAACAATTTTGATCGATAATTTGAGGGATTATATTATAACAAAATTATATTAATACCTCATATCATCAAACAATCAGAATATTACAATTGTAAAATACTCACTGACGACGATTAGCATAAATAACGGAAAGATTTTCTCTCCTTTATTAATCTCTAACAAAGGTCAAAGATATATTTTTAGCTAGTCACAAAATGTACGCGACCAAGAATGATATGTCCAATACTGGCTCGAAAAATGATTTATTTAAACAATGCACGATATAAAAAATTATATAAAACTGGCCAGTAAATGTGTAAGATATATTTAAGAGGAGAAGAGTGTATTTTTGCGTATCTATATGCAATGTGCGCGTAATTTGAACGTGAAATAAACGGAGATATATAAAATAAATTTAGAGATGAATAATATAAACGAAAAACAGAAAAATGATATTGCATTTATAAATTAAATCGTGACATACAATTGTAAAAGTTCATAAAATGTTTACGTGTATGCATTTGCTGGCGATGATATTTAATTTAATAAAAGAATTTTCTATTTTCTCTTTAATAGAACTCAAAGTAATTAAATATAACTTGAATACGGTCAGAATCAACGAAAGATGTGTCCAATAATAGTATGAAAAATCGATATGTATGTCTTTTATCTTTTTAGAAAGATTTTATCAAAGATTTTATTAAAAATTTTATATCTTGTGTGTAACGTCATGAGCGAAATTTTACTTTGCTTTTCTCGTAAACGTTACTTATCAATCGTACCTGTCATCAATTTATTGTCAAATGACAGTGTAATATATATAATATTTACTTGAACATATCAATATTTATTATCTTTGTTTAACTGGAAATTATCTTCGATCTAATCATAGAAGTCGATAAAGTTAAATTTGCCATACATAAAAAATATAAAATTTTGTAATTATTTATGTTTATATTATTTATTTAATACGTATCACGTTATTCTTACAATAATAAAAATCTAATTATATTTTATCAAAGTAAATTTTTTATTTTGTGCGTTGTGTACGCGCTTGCCAGTATTGTCACCATTGCTTAATGAGTCATCATCTAATTAGTCGATCGCATTATTAGTGTGAATCTGTGTAACTCGTTTTCTCGAGCGAATCGTTTTGTCGAGCAAGGAAATTTCGCGATAGGCGTTATATCGCGAGTACCTTCAGGTTCTCGTGCTCGTGTCGAAACGACATGACTCTTGGCGAGTAAATTGTAGGTTTTCAGAGTTACTTGACCTGAAACAAGCTGCATTAGCAAACTAAGACTTCCTCGTTTCTACCAAGAATAGTAACAACCCTTTTTCAAGCTTTGATGGTGGATTAGATAATGTTGATTAATTGTATAAAACAAACATTTTCTTGAAGCAAACAACTATTCGTACTTGTAATTGCAGATTGTAAATATTGACTATATGTAGAAAAAAGAAGAGAGAAAGATAATAACATTATACAATCAATAATAGACAGAAATGCATCCTTCGAATTTCACATATATTGTGATGTTTTTCAGATAAAATAAATTTACATATATATTAAAAGATTGAAATGTTACAGCGATATGAATAACACGATTTAGCTATAAATATTGTTTTACATTAGCTTCAGGTTAAAAAAGGCTTCTTTGTCTCTTTTAGAGAAATTGACAAAAAAATTAGGTAATATTTTAACTTTATATGCTAATTATAAAGAAGTATAAAAATCTTTTTGACGTAAAGCCAACGTAAAACAATGAGCATTACAACTATAATTTATTTCATCCTCGTCATTCGTATCTGTAACATTTCAATTTGTCAATCCCTCACTCGTAAAACATTACAGTATTTCATCTACTTTTCTCATGACTCATTTGATGGTGAAAGCCCGTCGAGCTTACATTAAACCACAAGAGTTCGACGGTAAAGTGACACGCTGATTGTAGAGAAGGGATTTATCGACTAGACGATAGGCTATGAATTCTAATAGCGTTCTCTTCAAAGTCCTCGAAAATCCTAATTTATTATTCATACAAACAAGTTTGTAGACCAGCAATAGCGTGAGCAATTTATACGGTAAATTGATAAAGAAGACGAATAGATAAATAACGAGTAGATAAAATAAAACTCAAAACATCTATAAATATAGAGGATTTACGAGAAGTATGTTTAGAATTAATAAATTAAAAGAGAGAATCGAAAAAAGATTTTATTTTTTATTTAACTGCATAAATAAAATTTAATTTCAATAATATTTCTATTATTCCCACTTTTGCTACATCATTTAATTTCTAACGTTTATTTCTAACGATTCTTTATCGTGTTTATTAAAATAATATTTTAATATAAGAAACAATTTTAAACACGATATATCTCCCTACGCGTCAATTTTGACGTATTCTTTTCGACATAAATATCACTCGTGGCGTGTTATATTCGCACGGCAACCAGTAGCAACAGTAGCGATGAGAAACCTTTTGGCAGCGTTCGAAAATCGAGAGAAATGGGTGGTTTACCCTTATTCTCGAGACGATCGATCGGTAGTAGGTGGGATACTGAGGGATACACAGAAGACGCTTCAGCGAGAGAATGGGATGAGATACCAGAATGTACTCTCAAGATCCGCTTTGGATGAGAAACGTCGGTCATCCTTTGTTCACCTGTCTATCTTTAGCGGATGAAACGTTAAACATATTGCGATTACGGCGCGAAAAAGACTGACTTGTCTTTAGTCAATTTTTTATATATTCTTAATAATAATCGTTGTCGATTTTCCTGATATAATTGCAAAATTATTATATTCTATGTTAATATTCTTACATTTCGTTAACAGCAACTTGAATCGATAGGGTGATTGCTCCATTAGAGATAACCAAAAATTCGATTTAAGATATTTTTACATCCTATATTCTATGTTTAACAAAATTTTTAATTAAAAAACGCACTATTTGTAAACTAAACTGGCATATATCTTGTATTAAGAGACAATTTATTTTCATGAGATAATAATTCAATTCACAACAAAATCAGATTCTCCCTAAAATACAATTTATTTTACGTTATACGTTTAGACAGCAGCGATAATTTATAATGCTTATTATTTTGTATGACGTACTACGATTCGATGTGTTCGACGAACCACGATTTTAATAAAAAGATAATCCACATCAACGTGTACGTGCGACAAACGTGGCATAAATCTGACAGCGACCTGCATGCAAGTCTATAATAGAAATTTCTCTCAGAGCCATGGAGCTTAAATAATATAGCGACGCGTATACAAGAAAAACATTTTCCTTAATGTAGTCGGACGTTTGATTACACAAAGTGGAATAATCCCGATTTAATCCGAGACTTACCGCGGCTTTGGGCCCGGCTTCCGTTTCCCGTTTTAGCTTGGATTTCAATGAAGCGAGAGAAGAGGTCGTCGCACACAGGACCAACAGAATTTTAGCTAAAGCAAATGCACTGAAATCTAACCCCAACGTATAAGCAACTTGCGACCTCCGCTGTGACTATCGTCTCTCTCCACGAACGTCACGAGGCTAATCCAAAGCAGTAACGCGAACAATAGCCGCTATCATGCGCCTCGCACGTAATGAGTTAGTTTGTTAATGCATCGTAAATTGATGAGGAGCGATGTTAATTAATGATGCTAATTATTGTTACTATGCTATATGCTATTAACATTACATGATCAATTAGGCGTTTGTTATAGGAGGTAACAAAAGCGTTTTGAAATTACAAAGGCAAATTATGAGAAAACGCGAAAATTATAATTCAGCGAAAATTATAATTTATAATTTATAAGAAAGAAGAGAAAAAAAGAAAAAGACACAAAGTTTAAAATTTTTATGAACTCTCTTTATGAACGTCTTTTTTCGTCGATTTTGAAAATAGAAGTAAATATACAAAAACGACTAGTCAAAGAGAATAAAACTAATAGAAAATGTAATTATACATCGAATATAAATGTAACATCTTAGAAATTCCATTGAACAACATTCCAACAGCTGATTTAGAAACATTGAATCGTTCATTTATTCGATGCGCAACAAGAATATGACATCGTATCGCGAGACAAACTACTTTGCGAATCTCGACACGTCGTCTCAAATTGTAGGATTGTATGGTCAAGCACGATAAAGGAAAGAACATCGCGATTTTAGATCATGGAGATCGATTTACTTACCTGTGCAAGTGTTAATATTCTGCAGTCGCGAGATCTAGACAGCCACTGCTAGCCAACTAACCAGTTCAGTCTAGTAGTTCCCGTTGCACATCTCGTTGAAGTAGTTGGAGTTGAAAAGGGATCAGAGTCACGTATCGCACTCTGAAACAGAATGCAATACAATATGTATATACATATGAATATTGCGCGCAATGTGCAATTGATTTTTCAAAATG